TGAGCCCCTGCCCGCAGGCTGGCGGTGCCACGGCCAGGATGGGAGGGCTGAGGGCAGAGGGGCTGCACGTGACTGTGCCACCACGTCTGCCGGGAGCACGGCCCCGGCTTGCGGCACCCCTGCTCCCACTCTGGTCTGGCCAGGCAAGGGCCGGGGGGGAGCGTAAATGTGCAAAGAGGATCGAGGAACTGGTTGAAGAACAAAATTAGAGGCATAAAGCTCAAACCTCTGGATTCAGCCTGAGACCCTTACCCTTAAACCAGCGATTCTCATCGTGCAAACTGTACAGGTGGGGCAGACGGTAGCTTGGGGCTTCCCCGCACCCCGTGCAGGGCTGCACTGCGTGTCTGCCCATTTTCCGGTTGCTCAGGGCATGGAGTAAGGTGTAGAGCCATAGAAATGGGTCGGGATAACTGGTTAGCTCCAAACCAGCTCACCGGCACAGCCATAGCACCAGTGCCGAGGGGAGCACGGGGGCAGTGTGCTGGGGGGGGCGAGTCGGCAGTGCTGGAGAACATGGAAAAGTGCTTTATTTCTCCCTTTTCCCATCCAAAAAGAGGCTGAGAACCAGCACCCGGCAGTGTGGCTGGCGGGCTTGGGGGGCCTGCTGCCAGGTGGGGTGGGGCACCGCCTCTCACAGGGTGTTGGCGGAGACTCGCAACGTGGTTCAAGTGGCATTAAGCAACTGCAAAAGGCAGCAGGGGTAACTGGAAGTGAAAGAATGCAGATCATTTATTAATAGGGTTTACAGAAATTTTCTGCTGGGTAGAAATATTGATTCTTTATTCCTATTTTAAAAGGAGCTTTTTGTAATGATCACCAAGAGTCATTTTCTGTTATCGATTGCAATAGAGCTGTGCTGGAGACCTCCCTCCATTCATTCCACGCCCGCGAGTATCATTGAGAGTGAACGCAGCACAGGTTTTCCTTTCAGGAACACGGCAACTTCTTAAATCAGCATTTCTGTCATTTTTACAGTGGGGTTTTGCTATGTGTGTTTAAAGAGACATACACATTTGCTCTTCTAAATCCGTTTACGCTATTCTTAAAGTTCACCTTTGAGGGGGAGGTGGTGTGGGGAGGCAAATGCTAAAAATAAAACTCCCCCCTTAAGTAGATCAGTTCTGCATTTGACATTTACATGGAATTCATTTGCATCTCATTTGTACATGTTTCTGCTCAATAGGTAGAATGTAAGAAAGCACAACCTAAAGAAGTGATGTTTCCACCAGGGACGAGAGGAAGGGCACGTGGATTACCGTATACCATGGACGCTTTTATGCTAGGGATGGGAATGTTGGGTAAGTGCCGTAGCCACCACACGTCTCCCGGAGCCAGCGGCTCCCGTGTTGTCTCCCTGGTTTCTGAACACGTAAGGCGTAGGGGTGAGCAAATCCCTGCACCTGTGTGGGTGCGAGTCTAAAACTTCAGCAGGGGTGGAGTGGGGAAAATAAGCCTGTCTGTGGTAAATTATTAACTCCCCCCCCCCCCGCTTCCTGGAATATAAAAATGTGCATTTAAATGGATGTTTTAAATAGCCTGTTTTACTCTTACTCACAAAAATAGAATGATGAAAGATGCAGTGTGTTCATTCTGACTAAAAATGATCTCTCCCCTTTTTTAGAGGAATTGAATCACACATTATTCCCCTTCTTTTAAAGGTATCTTTGACAGTTCAGCATAGATAATTGAAAATCTTGCCGGTTCTTAAATGGCATGCAAGATGGAGAAAGCAGGGAGATGCGTAACAGTATAGGTTGCAACAATAGTTACAAGTTTCAAGGAGATGGAATGGTATTTTAGTCCAGAGTATTGTGTCCAGAAAATACTAATTAAATGGGATAAATGATATTTAATGGCAAAATTCTATTTGTGCATGAGGTCTATTTAGTTATAATTGGTTTTCATTTGTTTCTGCCTAGATAGTTCTTCTTTCTGCATAATGTGACAACTTCTTGATACTCTGTCCTCAGATTTACTAAGCCAAAATGCTGCTAATCCACTGCCAACGTATTTTTGTAAAACCCCATATATTTTCAACTTTCTGCTCCCTTTGTATCACTGGACTTTCCCTCGGTTGTCACCTGCTGTGTCCATAAAGCATGCATGAACGAGAGGGCATCTGGAGGTGTTCCCAGGCAGAAATGAGCCTTTCCCTGTCCCTGGTACGTGGCCCCTCCAGGATGCTTTGAATTTTCTGTCCCAGGTTTAGATGATCCCAGAAGCTGAGCACAAAAACCAGCCTTGAAAGCTGGTGCTTGGTTGTCCTGAGCTCTGCCAAGCAGGTACATGGGCTGCCTGAGATGCTGGAGGACCCCAAGGCTCCTGGAGTGGGCGTCAGGTCAGAGGACTCGGTTCCTATGAGTATCAGGCTGTTATGCTGAGATGTCTGACTTCAGGCACCGCTTGATTTGATAGGGAAAACTTTCCTGCCATGTTTGCTTTATCTCTGAATTAATAGTGTTTCTGTTCGTGTGGCTGGAGCGATCCATTTCTGGGATGTGTAATTCGGTTATTTCAGCTGATCATCTATTTTTCTGTCCCCACAGTCCACCGCCACCCTGCCCCATAGTGTTTAGAAATTGCATTTTGTGGTTAAAATATTTATCTTCTTCTAGTCAGTCTGTGATTTTTATACCTGTATGTTCCCAGTGTGCTCGAGCATGTGTACTTCATTTCTGTTCTCTTTCTTTTCCGCTTGTGGTGCCTGAGGTTTGGGATGGTGGAGGTGGTGCATGCCGCCTTGCTGGCCAGTCCCGCCCGGCTGCTGGAGGAGAGAGCCCAGGTCACCCTGGGTAGGCAAAAAGACCCAGGGCAGCATCCCTCTCCTGCTCACCGCGGGCAGAGTTGCCTCAACCCTTCTCCTCGCAGCCGGGCAAGGAGTGAATGGAGCCAGGGTCTGCCTCAGTGACCTGAAGGGAAAATTCAGCCCTCAGGTGTGGCGGGAGTCATTCCCACCGGGGCTGCCTCTCTGGAAAAAGATCGTTTCAAGCCGTAAGAAGTAAGGGAAGAAGCCCTCGGCGAGTGGATCTGCATCTGCGCAGAGCAAGCGATGCGGGTGCCTGTTGGCAAATCCCCATCCTGCTGCGGTGGGGTGGGTCAGGTCACCCCGACCGGCTCTGCTCTGGCTGGTCTTGCAACATGCTCTTATTAGATTTCAAATCAGAGTGACTTGCTCAGAATTAATGATTGATTCGTGTTGAAGGCCAGATGCTTCATTATCTGCTCTAGCTGTTTTTTTCATCTTCCAAGTTACTGCTTGCTACAGTGGCACGGTGTTAAATAATTAAGTGCTAAACAAGGAAATTGCAACACATGAGAGCAAGGCTGTCTGGATGGCCATTATAAATCCCCATTTTCAAAGGCTGCCTGTAAGAGTTGGCTTCAAGGGGGCTGATGGGCAGCGGCTCAGCGGGGAGCCCGCATCTCTCCTTCCCAAGCCCCAGCAGCTGCGCGGCGGTGGGACCCCGTCCCCACAGGGAGAGGGGCATAATTAACCCATCAAACGATGAGGCGCACAAAGTAACGTACCGCCAGAGGCAGCGTCTGCAGTAGCCGAGCGTTTTGCTGAGATCCCAGGAGGCCGGTGTCAGCCCTACCCCGTTCCTCCTTTTAGATGCCTAGCTTGACTGAAACAGAGCAATTGGGGCTGCTCTTGGAGGATTTTTATACCTGTTTCCAGAAGCCCTTGTTCAAGGTCACCTTCTCCAGATGCCATTCATAGGCAGAGGAGGGAATCAGAGGAACGAACGCATGAGACAACCCAAAGGAAAGAGCGGAGAGCAACTCCCTCCAAAGCTATTAAGGAAGTTGGTCTTTTTCATTAATCACAGCCTCCCCAAGGAGCCTGCAGCAGCCGGGGTCTAAAGGTGCGTAGGCAGCCGCTTCTGTGATGATTTGGTTGATTGGAACAAAATTAAAGTGTTCTTCTGAAAGGATTTTTTGACTCCGAGAGCGCGGGCAGGCTGAGCCTTTTGCCAGGACCGCTTCTGAGCTGTCTCGGGCTGGTCTGCTGGTGGGACACGCGCAGTCTCGGGGGAGATCAGGAACATTAATTAGCCACTCTGCATAAGGAGTGAGCTGGAGTGGTTTCAGTTGCAGTGATCTTTCTCTCCCTGGCAGCCCACCCATCAGGAAGAGCTGCTCCCCAGCCCCATGGATGCTCGTGAACAGGCACCGTGTCCCCCCTAGCAGGCAACGCACACATCTGCAGCTGAGAGGGAGCGGTTCAGTGGCTGAGAAGCTTGCCATGCGCCCAGAAGCCTCACCTCCGTCACCTGGTCCTGGTGTGCAAACCAGGAGCCCCCTCACCCAAGGGTGTGTGGGTGTCACTGCATTGCCCCACGGCTTTTTGCCCTCCATTCAGGTCTGTACCTGAAAACTTGGAAAAAAAGAGAGAAAAGAAGAAAGCAACCGAGGAGCAACATTAACAGCAGGTCGTCTCTGTCTGCCCTCCCATCTGAAGCAGCTCTGTGCATCTGGGACGTCGCAGCTGCCATTGCGGTGGTCCCAGCGGTGACGCCCAGCTCTGGAGGTCCCCGCCTCTCTGCTTGATCTGAGCTGGGGCCCCACAGCACTCATTTCTTCTGGCGATGGGCATCTTAGACTTGCTGGTGTTTAATATTAAAGTTGGACTCTTTTTAACTTGCAGTCCCCTCCAGAGAGAGGAGCGCTCGGCCAATAAAGCTTATACCCCCAGACTGCCAAAATGATGTCTGATATGAACACCAGATTTCAGAAAGTCTCTAACAGGCTGCTTATATCACTGCACAAGGCAGAGCAGGGCTCTGCATTACTGCACACGTTTAATCTAGGTAGGCTGAACTCATGCATAAAAGAAGCTTGTGCCCTTCAAAGAAAGTCATTCCTTTTTTCCATCAGACTCCATTTAATAGAGTAGCAGCTGCCTCTGAGGCAGGATTCAGGAAGGGGAGCCCTTCGTCAGCACAGACTTCCCGGGGGGCTGGCACAACTTACCAGAACCCCCCTGGGCTCCTACAGCAGCACCCGCTGTAGCCATCACTGACGAACGCGGCTGCGGCCAGCTTTACCTTAGCTCTTTAATTCCCTTGAAGAAGGAGATAGGTCAACTTTGTTGGACCAAGGGAGAAACTTCTACAGCAGATGTTTCTTCACCATAGCTGCTCCCTAGTATGTGACCACCCCCTGTGTCTGTAGGAGATGATTTTTGGTTTGCATTCCCTGGCGCCACAGGTGCTCACGTCAAGGTCACAGCATGTTTCTTTTGAGAAAGATCCTGAGCATTTTTGTTGCAGCTATGGCAGAAGGATTATGTTGCTATGCTTTGGCAGAAGGAACGTGCCTTTCCTTGCAAAGGACCTGGCGTTCCTTGTTCTGAACAACATTGGGAGACAATAATTTTCCTGCATTTACTGGAACATTTGAATTAATTTTGAAAGCAGATGTCCCCAGGCCCCAATGTGCCCAGTGTTCCCACATATTAACCATGAGCTTTGTCCATCTTGGATCACCAAATTTAAAAATGAAAAGACATTTCCATAGCCTGGTTCAGTGGTTGTGGACACTTCCCCACTTGGAGCAGAGAAGCCTTTTCTCCCTCTGGAGGTGCTGGTGGGACGGAGGGGAGTTGGGAGTCTGGCTCACGTCTCCTCCCTTTCCAGTGACCTTGTGCATGCTCCATGGCAAGCTGCTCGGTTTCCAGGGCCACACTTCCCCTGTGCAGAATGGAAGGCAGGGCAGTTTGCCCAGATTTTGTAAAATGCCTGCAGTGCTCGGGCTTTACCATGGGCCCACCAGGATGGGCTTTAGCACCAGGAACGCTGTGATGCCCTCAGGTACACTGTAAGTAAAAACATCAGTGTCACCTGTTTGCAGTTGTTTTCATCCTGGAAGCAGAGCCTTTGCTTTCCCCTGGAAGACCGTCCCTGCACTGAGCAGTTGCTTGCACGCTGCGGTGGTAATGGACTCCGTGGCCGCGTCAGGTGTTGCCTCCACCAAGAGTGTGACAGCCAGTTGAGCGTGACCGTCGGGTGGGCAGCATTGTGCTTCCAGCAGCCATCGCTCTCACCTTGCATGCCAGGCCTGCCCGGAGAGCATCCAGCACAGGGCAGGATCTGGTCCGCTGTGAGATGGGGCTCTGCAAGGCTCCAGCACATGGGCTGGAAGTTCAACCAGCCTGCAGGGTGGGTGCGTCGGACCTGCTGTCATTGATGTCAGACAGGGGCTGGGTGGAAGTGGTGGCGTGAAAGCAGTTTTGGTTGTTGGGTTTGAGTTGTGCTTCCACAGACAGGAGGGTCTTGCTTCGGAGGAGGTAATCCAGGCAAAACTTGGATTTCTGGTTTAGCAACAAGGGATAATTAGAGAGATTGATCATTCCCCAGGACTACTGAAGCAAATAAACTGTTCAGTGCCCAATGCAGGATAAGAATGGCATCTAATGGAAATGGTGGGTAGGTCAGCATGGCCATAATTTGGCTTGATGAAGCATCCACATGGGCATGGTGTTAATGCGCTGTTGATATTCAGCCAGGCAATTTCCCCTGCGCGGATCGGGCTTTGACTCGTTAGAGCAGAGCTGGGCACTGCAGCAGTAAATGAAGAGGAAAATTGAAGTAATGTTGTATTATAAATTTATTATTTCATCTGCCTGACCTAGAGAGTGTTGAGCGCTGGCGATGCAGGCGAGAGCCCCCCAGGCAGCTCTGCCAGTGCTGCTGCCGTCAGGCACAGCCGGGTTTGGCTGGGGAGAGCCGGGCTGCTGCTGCACGCTGCCCTGGGTTTGGAGGCAAATCCACCGGGGCAGGAGCATCCTCATCCCCGCAGAGCATCCCAGGGCAGGGCAGCAGAATAGATGGCATCCTGCACTGCGATGCTCGCTCCAAAAACACCACGGGTGCGTGGGCAGCTGCCATCCACTGCTGTGTTGGTCCAGTCGGGGCCATGGGGACTGCACCTGCAGCCCCTGCTCCCCAGGGCAAACCTCAGGCGCTGCCCGGCATACCGATCCCCTGCGGCCCCGACAGTCGTGAGCTGACAGGTCTGCTTCAGAGTCGTTCGAGTTGGAATAAAACTTAATTTTTTCCACTTGGCAAGGAGAGGGGCTGCGGTCGGACGCCACAGAGTGATTTTTCATGGTGGAGCTTGCAGTGGTGTTAATGGCGCTACTTACTTAGTAAACAATCCATTTATCAATATTGTTGTTTTTAAAAAAAAGGAAAAAGGGTTTGTAAAGCTTAACTCTGAAAGATCTGATTTAATGACAGAGGTGATTAATTTTTAAGGGAATCCAGCTGTTGAGCTGTGAAATAAATACACAAGGGCTAAGCGGTGTGTACATATTGCTGAAAGCCGCAGCGTGCTGTCCTGGGATTGCAGGGCTGCTTTCCCCTGGCAATGCTTAATCCCGTAATCAAAATTCATCCAAGCATTTTTATCTTTCAGTTTTAGATTATGATTAATAGTACATTATATGTATATATAAATCTAATCAGAAATGGAGGGACTTGCTGCAGCAAAAAAATAGCTGTACAATGTATGAGTATATTAAAGAATAAATAAGAGCAGAGATAGGAGACCCCCAGAAGAACCATTCAGCGTTAAAACTGTTCTCAGGGTCCAGCCCAGCTGCTGCTGTCGTCACTGCCGAGATTTCCACTGACTTCAGACGCAGTGAGAGCAAATTTTTCGTGATGGTTTCTTGGTCTGGAGAGGTCTTTCCTGGAGACTGGAGGACTCTGGGTGGACTGGCTGACACTGACGGTCAGCGGGAACGTTACGCGGCATTTATTGCACGGGAATTGCAAAGGGTAGTTCCTGTTTTTAAGAAAACCAAGCAAGGGAATGCTGAGGATCGGAAGTGAGGTTGCAATTTTAGGAAATCTGTACAGGACAGCTTGTGACATCGGCCGTACCGGTTGTAGCAAACATCTGCGGTGGGACCAGAGAGGACAACTGTTTTGCATAAGGGCTGGGAAGTTAAAACACGGGGGGGTCACAGTGTGTGACCCCTTGGCTGGTGCCAGCCCACGCACGTTTAGGGACTAGTGTGACCTCCAGCACCTACGCAAACCTTCCTGCTGCCTGGGGAGTGAAACCCCTCTCCCCTGGCCTGGTTGTCAGAGTTAACCGCCTGCGATGCTGGCAAGGCATGCACTGTGTAACGTGGTGAAACCCTTGGCCGAGCACGCGCGGGGCTGACAGCCGAGCGGTGGTACCTCTGTCCATCAAACACCCGCGGGTGGACCTCCCGCGCCCACCGCCCCCCGAGGGCTCTGCTCTCTTACCGACACTACCTTTCACTCCCAGCCGCTGTGTTAGAGCGGGCAGAGTTGCCACTTAATGCATTTACTTCAGCATCTTTATTAACAAAATGATCTCGAGTGGTATTTTTGTCATAATAAAACTTCAAAAGCTGCCTGAGGTCGGATGCGTTTCTGCGCGTATCTCAGAAATTGCTTTAGGAAGCGGTTCTCATACCTGGGTTTTTCCTGAAAAATTAAAAGCTCTTTGACTCTCTGGCTCATTGCTGTTGCTGCCTCTAACTCTTTGATGTGTTAACTGTTGTCCTTCACACTCCCGGGATAAAGAATTACTACTACCTTAATCTCCAACTGTCAATAGCTCTGAAGCAAAGTACATTCATTGTAAGCTCTCCAAATGTCAGAGCAAACCTGTGTTATGTGTTTAGCCTTAGCATTTGGCATTTACTCTTCCAGCTAACAAGTATGCACAGTCCTTGGACTTCAGATACCAAAGTGCATGTTAATTACCTGAGTGACAGGTCTCATGCACAAAGCCAGGCAGGCAAGCTCTAGATGTTTCTATCCAAGATAATAATGAAACCTTTCTGCAGTTTTGCATGAGTGGAATAAATCTCGGTTTTTAATACCTTCTGTAAAATCAAGTCTCACCCATCCTCCATGTCATTTTGCATTGTATTTAAAAACAAAAAGCCTTTATTAATCTTCAAACTTCTCTTTCTCTCTCTCTCTTTTTTTTTTTTTTACATTTCTGTGATCAAGGTTACCCAAATTTTGTTGCAACGTATGGCCGAGGATATCCTGGATTTGCTCCAAGTTACAGCTATCAGTTCCCAGGTACGTACATTTCATTTGCAGATTTACTTTTTTCCCCCCTCTTTCCTTCTTTATTTTTTTTCCTTTTTTTTAAATCCATAGCTGCAAGCTGAGACAGGCAAGTCTGCAGGGAGCATCTCACACAACAACAATTTTTTTTACTATTTTAAAACAGATATTTCTATATACATATTTTAAATACATTTTTACTAACGTGTAAATTGGTACTGGTTATTTGAAAACAAACTTCTTAAATTAAAACATAAAGCAACAGAGATAATCTAAGAGCTATTACCCTCCCTTTGATGGGTTTTTTCTTTTATATATACTACAGATAGATACACAGACAGACACACACACGCACACAGAGACTCGCACACACGTTCCCATACTATCCTGCGGTAAGTGTATACTCATTACAAGTGCAGTCTTGGAGTAAGAAGTCCAACCTTCCTGTGTTCTTTATCGATACTGCTGGTGTCCTTCAAAGGAATAGTTTCTAGCCGTGTGTTGATGGTTCGGTTTGGCTTCGGTTCGGTTTCCCCCTTTCCTTGGCGTGGCTGCCGCCTGCCGCGATGATGGTTCGGTTTGGCTTCGGTTCGGTTTCCTTTCCTTGGCGTGGCTGCCCCCTTCCCCGGCGGCGGGGCCCGGGTCGGGGGGGCGGGACGGCTCGCCGCTGCCGCCTGCCGCGGCGGTGGGACCGGGCCGGGGCGGCTGCACCGCGCTGCAGGCTGGCTGCGGGGCACAGCGGGGATCGTGAAAAGCCCTTTCCCATTCCAGCACATCCCGCAGGTGGGGCTGAAACCGCACAGGACACAGTTTCCTTTCCTTTCACCTTGGGGTTTCCCGGGCAGCTCGAACAAGCAACGCGACGCTGCTGTGTTTATGGCTTAGCTGAAGCCAACCCGGACACTGCGGCGAGGAAACCCCGGTGCGCTCTGCGTTAAATTCATGAGCGCGCTTGTTGCAGGGGTCACGCACGAGCAGTCCCACCACCGGTGCCGCGGAGCCTCAGCGGCTTAGAAGGAGAGCGGTGGGAGCACAGCTCTGCTCAGGGTAATTGAGAAACTGAGTGAGCACCGGCGGGTGCGGGGGGGGCAGCAGCTCCGTGGGGAGGAAAAACCAAACACCCTCAACGGGAAGGTCCCTTAGGATGGGTGAGGATGTGGAGGGATGCTCGGCTCTACCTGTGGCATGCTGGGGCGAAGATACAGCCTTGTGTTCGGCACTAGGTCATTAGGATGGAACCTTGCATCGGAAGCATATGTATTATTAACACCCATAAGACGAATAATGTCCTTGGGATGGTAGTTTCAGTGGAGCTGGTTTCTGCAGGACTGATAACACCAAGGGAAACAGTGCTATTAGGGGTTGTTTTCAATTGCTAAACTTCACAAATGCTAGAGCTCTACTTTAAACTCATCTGCCTCTTTCCCACCTGTGCTACCCCCCTCCCAAACCAAGCCAGGTCCGAAACAACCAGGGTGTCAGGGCTGACAGCGGGGCTGCCGGGGCGGCGTGCCGGGCAGAGAGGGTTGGCAGCGGCAGGGGGCCAGGCAGCTGCCCCTGGGGGTGACCCCGCCGCTGGCCCTGGCTGCTCCGCTGGAGCCGGTGGGCAGAGGTCCAGGCAGGCAGGGATTGCAGCCGTTAGTAGTTGAATACAAGGAGGAGGCTTCAGAAGGTGTTTGCATGTTGTCTCACGCTTTCCTCCCGGGCCCTCACAACTCCTTGTACCAGCTGATTCGTATGAGGACAGCTAAATGAGAGACACTTTTGATAAGTTAAATGATGAAAATCGGCAGAGCTTAGATGACTTTAATTATAAACATGTCTAAAAGGAACGTGTCTGCCAGCTGACAGCAGAGGTACCGTTTTACTCTAGCCCTCATTATATATGTTTTTATTAAGGGCTTGGTTTTTCAAAACAGGCCTTCCAGTTATTTCCTAGTTGTTTTCAGTCTCTTACAGAGATTGAATAAGCAGAAGAAAATCAAAGCGGGTTGTCACCACTGAAAAGCAGGTGCATCTCATTGCAGGCGCCAGTTGTGCCTTCAGGAGCAGGGCAGCAAAGGGGAGCTGCTCGGAGTCCTCCGTCGCCTTGCTTGGATTTCCCTGCCCTAAAGCTCTGCCCGTGGTGTTTGCTCCACTCCCACTCGGATAATTTTTTCCTTAACAGCAATCAGAACCGTTAATAGAGTGGTTAGGCGGGTTTTCTCAGACGACTTGGGACTCCGGTCTCCAGAAACACAACCCGTCAGAGTGGCGTGGGGTGTGGGAACCCCCCTGCCAGGAGGCACGGCACAAGGGGTTTGATGCCCATCAGCAGGACGGGGTGTCTCCCTCGCTGGAGCCAGGCGTTTGGAGAGAGGAGTGTTGGGAGCAGAGAGCCCTGTACCATGGGAGCAAAACTCAGGGTGCAAGGGAGCGTTTCGGGAGCGGGTTGGGATTTGAGGATGGGGATGTGCCAGCACTGCTCGCTCCTGCCACGGGAACAGCGGTGGAAATAAGTGCTGCTCACACGGTTGTGTCCTGCCGTGTCTCAGGTGCCTGCGTGGCTCTCCCCGCTCTCCTTTCGCCCTTCTCTGCTGGGGGGAGCTGCATCCTGCAGCACAGGGCTCCTGCAGCCCTCGCTCCCCCTCCTCCAGGCACTGGTGGGAAGGAATCGAGTAGGTAGCCTGACCAACCAGCCCTGGGGAAAGGTGTTTAGTGCCACGGGACAAATAGCATAAGCGTGGTTCCAGCACATAGCCCTCCTCAAAAGAGCCCGAACCCCCCCAACCCTTCCCTTCGCGTGTTTTGACGCTTGCAGAAGTACCCGTGGGGCCCGTGGTACAGCTGTGGCTTGGAGTGTGAGATAGGAGCATGTGCGAACCCGACGGAGAGAAATCTGAAAACTGCTTTTTTAATAAGTTGTCATGCCCAAATGCTCAGTGTCATGATTCGAAAAGAAAAATACTTGGCCGTTTCTGCAGGAGCATCCCAGGCAGCGTGCCTGAGAGCTTCGGCTGCCTCCCGCCGCCGCAGTACCTAAACAGCGGTGGTGTTGCAACCGCAGCGGTGTGTATGTATAAGTATACATATAATACATACAAATATACAGCTGTATTCCGATGGTTCATTATAGAGGAGACCTGGCAGTGCTTTTTACTACAGTACAGTTGCGTCGTGAAACCTGTTCTCCTGCACTGGTGCCTGTGCTGCAGTAAATCAGCCTGGCAGGGCGGGCTGCAGCCGGGGTCGTCCCCGGAGGGTGTCATTGCAGCCCTGTGCTGTTAGCAGTCACCATCCCACAGGGCTCTGCCCTGCGGTGCCTCGTCACCTGCCAGCGGGCGTTATTCCGGTTCCTCCTCTGGTTACGCTACCTATTTACTTTTTTACTAAAAGAAGAAAAAATTGAATGCCCATCTGAATTGAACTGTCCTGTTGGTATTTACTGTTGTCCAAGTGAAACGAGGCTACAAATGTCACGATCCACCTGTTTGCATTTCCATTTCTGTACTGGGGAGCACCGGCTGCCAGAGCTGCTGGCAGGGTCCCCTGGACGGTCCCTCCCGCATCCTCCGCTGTTTCCTATCGGCACGGGGACGTGCCCTTACTCCACGGGCGAGACACACGCAATCACTTTGGCGACTGCTCTATCTTCTCCCATCACGTTATTTTTTTCCTCTAGGCCTTTATAACTCAGTACATAGCCTTTTTTTTTTTAATTGCAATCACTCCCTTTCTGTGTCTTCTTTTTTTTTTTTTTTTAAATTTCTGGGACTTATCTTTTCAGTTTAATCTATTAATTTCTGTTCTTATTTCACTTTGCAGACTATTTGCCGATTTCACAAGACATAATTTTTATCAACTAGTTCTTAAAGATGCATAACAAATTAATCGGGGTTTACTACAGTGCTAATGAGAGAGAGAAAAAAGCCTGGGTGGTCCATGTTTAATATCAATGTCCACTGAAAAATTGCTGCTCTTACTGGCTGGTTTGATTGACTGGACTTTTTATTTTATTTTTATTTTTTTAAAGGCTCCATATCCTCACTGCTTTGAGTTTGCTTTTTATTTTTTTATTTTTTTAATTTTTTTTCCTCTGCTTTGTTATGAGTTTTTAATGCCCACTTGGAATGTAACTCACAAGGATTGGGGTTAGGGGCGTTATGAAGGCATGACTTCTCACAAACTTCTTAGAAATAATTTTATCAAGGAAGCAAAAATGATGATTGGGTCTCATAAGCAGCCCCAAAGAGAGATATTGGCGCTTTTTAACACAGAGACGTTCAGCAGTAGCGCAAATCGTAATTAGGGTGGAGGGAGACCAGCGTCTCCTGTCACTAGGATCATTAGCAACGCAGGGTTTAATTATTCAAAACGAGTGCCCTGCGTCCGCAAGCGTGACCCTGTGGTGCTGGCGGCTGCAGGCGTAGCAGACCCACGCGTGTTTTCTCCTGTTTCGTTCGCTTTGGGTTGGTGGCTCTTTCTAGAGCTGCCGTACTCAGGCAAGGGCCATGGCTAGAAGCCACCAAAAAAAAGGGCTTAGGCAGTTACTGCACCTCCCGCAGCAATCCCTGCCCCAGCTCCGAGCCACTAACCACCCCCTCGTCTTGCAGCCAGCGATGCTCTCGCATACTCCGTGCAGTCGCTTCTACTTCCAGACTTTGCTTGCAAATCATGGGCAAATCATTTAAATTTTGGCAAGAGGGACGTGCTTTCCCCCGCGAGCTTAAGCTATATCGCGCCTCTCTATCTCCACCCAAATCGCAGAAGAGCTGCAAACCTATGTGATAATGCCTCCATCCATTGGCTTTGTTTTTAACGAGACCAGATTCTGGACTTTTGGGTAGAAAACACACATCGTATTTAAATTCCGTTTTTCTTTAAGTGTTTCTACCCATTTTATAAGTTTGTGAGAAGTAAATTGCATGCTTACAGTAGAACTGTAATGCATTTTAATGTTTGTTAATCCACTTGTTTAAAATGTCAGTGTCAAAGGCTCTACAATACACGGCTATGCTGTTCATTTCATTAAA